GGTGGCATGTCCTTTCACATTTGCATCATGGATTTTATTCAGAGCAACAAAGGCGGTTTGAAAATAACATTTGAAGGACACATTTACAGTAAGCCTGCAGCTCGTAAGAACAAAATCTGGTGGAAATGTACAAAGAGGTCCAGTATGTCATGCAGATGAAGCCTGAGCACCAACATTAACCAAGAAAATCCTGAGATTGGACAGCCACACGATCACTAAACAGGCTATGCCAAGATTGTGATGACCAAAGTTCGACTCCAAATGAAGAAGCATGCAGCCGACAGATATTTGCGCAGGTTGTGGCAGACACCAGCGACAAAATACGAGCCATGCTTCTCACTCAAGAACACTGAAGGAGAACAATGAGATACCAACGACCGACACCACCAGTTCTGTCCAATTTCAGTGACCTTGGTGACATTCCAGAAGAATTTGCATCTACAACCGACAGACAACCATTCCTCATTTATGATAACGGCGCCAACAACCCCAGCTCAGGAATGTTCATGACGCTACAGTGAAATGTGATCCTCGCACCAATAACATTCGTGAAGGCTGGGACAACAAGTTCCACAACTTGGTTGCCTAGAACCACCCTTCTGTGTGGGAAGTTGCAGAATGGTTCAAGAAAGAACAGGTTACAGTGAGATCCATGATTGCTCAAGACGCTATAGACACTCCCCCCAAGAATAAGGTAAAGACCTCAGATCGCAGTGACATCTTCAGAACTTGTGCAGGGATCGAGTTAATAAGTGCAAATCAATCCCAGAGTTCCTGTATGGGGTTGGATGAAACATTCGATTTAACAAAAAAATTTGATTGATCCTCTGCGAGGAACTGATTGATCCTGTGCTTTATGGTCATACTTAAACATATTACACAGATAATAAACAGTTATTGTGACCTTTTTCCTGTGACTTTTTTTCCTAACATAAATGGTGACTTTTAATCCGTGACTTTTTCCTGTGACTTTCTTTCCGATCACCTCAGTGATTGAGTTAAGATTTACAGCCACATTGGCAATATTTCAGCAATATCGTGACTAAAACAAGTTTTGAATTCATCATAAATACATGTAAGCTATAAATGAACCTGTCGACGAAGGACAGTAAAATCAACTAGAATATCACAGTATCAAGAAATAAAACTAGCATCTCGTTCCAAAATTGGATTTCAAATTGGGACAATACAGTAAAATTATAGGCTATGGATCACACATAAGTAATACACATAACACCATACACTACAGAGCACAAATATATTACACTTCACACACTACATCGCACCACACTACACTACACCAGTCCACACCAAGCAGATGTCGCCATACACACACCAAACACACAGTACACACAAAAGCCTACTAAATATTTAACATACATAGTACACCACACATAGCGTACACATACTGGTCCAAACACGCCAAGCACTGCACACCACACACTGGGAACATGCAAGCCACACACACAACACAGAAATCATGCACGCCACACACGCAACACACTGGGAACATGCACGCCACACACAAAACACAGGAAACATGTACGCCACACACACAACACAGGGAACATGCACGCCACACACACAACACAGAGATCATGCAAGCCACACACACAACACAGAGAACAAGCAAGCCACATACACAACACAGAGATCAAGCAAGCCACACACACAACCCAGAGATCATGTACGCCACACACACAACACTGGGATCATGCACACCACACACACAACACAGGGAACATGCAAGCCACACAAACAACACAGAGATCATGCACACCACACACACAACACAGGGAACATGCACGCCACACACAACACAGAGATCATGCACACCACACACACACTACACAGGGAACATGCAAGCCACAAACACAACACAGGGATCATGCACACCACACACACACTACACAGGTATCATGTACGCCACACACACAACACTGGGATCATTCACGACACACACACTACACAGGGAACATGCAAGCCACACACACAACACAGGGAACATGCACGCCACACACACTACACAAGGAACATGCACATCATCCTCAAATTTCACCCACTATACAGTATTTTAAAAGGCAAACAGCCGGACAAATCACACGTGTCAACAAACACATCACACCTGTCAACACACATATCACACCTGTCAACACACACATCACATCTGTCAACACACATGACACCTGTCAACACACATGACATCTGTAAAAACACGTCACACATGTTAACACACGTTACATCTGTCAACACACATGAAACGTAGCAACACACACATCACACGTGTCAACACACATGACACCTGTCAACACACGTCACGTTTGTCAACACACATCACATCTGTCAACACACGTTACGTTTGTCAAACACATCACGCCTGTCAACACACGTCACATCTGTCAACACATATATCACACCTGTGAACACATACGTCACACCTGTCAACACACACGTCACACCTGTCATCACATACGTCACACCTGTCAACACATACGTCACACCTGTCAACACACACGTTACACCTGTCAACACACACGTTATACCTGTCAAAACACATCACACTTGTACACACACACATCACATATGTCAAAACACACATCCCACCTGTCAACACACGACACCTGTCAACATATACATCGCACCTGTAAACACACACATCACATATGTCAACACACATCACAGCTATCAACACACATGACACCTGTCAACACACATGGCACCTGTCAACACACATGGCACCTGTCAACCCACACATTACACCTGTCAACACACACGTTACACCTGTCAACACACACGTCACACACGTTACACCTGTCAACACACATCACACCTGTCAACACACATCACACATGTCAACACACATATCAACAAACATATCAGATCTGTAATCAAACATCACACCTGTCAACGCACAAATAACACCTGTCAACACACACACCACACCTGTCAACACACATCACATCAATCAACACACATAAGAGCTGTCAACACACACGACACCTGTCAACACACATGGCACCTGTCAACACACGTTACACCTGTCAACGCACATGGCACCTGTCAACACACGTTACACCTGTCAACGCACATGGCACCTGTCAACACACGTTACACCTGTCAACGCACACATCATGCCTGTCAACAAATGCATCACGCCTGTCAACGCCCCATCACATCTGTAAACACACGTAACTGCTGTCAACGCACACATCATGCCTGTCAACAAATGCATCACACCTGTCAACGCCCAATCACATCTGTCAACACATACATCACACCTGTCAACACACACGGCACCTGTTAACATACATGGCACCTGTCGACCCACACATCTAACCTGTCAACACACATGACACCTGTCAACACACGTTACACCTGTCAACGCACACATCATGCCTGTCAACAAATGCATCACACCTGTCAACGTCCCATCACATCTGTCAACACATACACCACACCTTTCAACAGACACATCACACCTGTGAACACACACATCGCACATGTCAACACACACATCACACGTGTTAACACACATCATGCCTGTGAACATAGACATCACACCTGTCAACGCCTCATCACATCTGTCAATACGCACATCACACGTGTAAACACACATCACACCTGTCAACACATACGTCACACCTGTCTATACACACATCACACCTGTCAACACACACATTTAACCGTATCATATACTTACTGGCCACACGCACAACACCCCAAAACGATATGATGAAATAACCTTCATTGTGCTTTATAACACATATACTATCCAAAAAAAATAAACGCAGAGACCAGAAATCTGTTGCGAAAATGATTTTTTCCATCAGTTTAGAAGAAGGAAATGTATATACAACCAAGTGGATAATTTTAGATATCGGCGACGTTGAGCGCGATGGTGGCGACGTAGCACGGTCCCGACGTCGGGTCTCCTGGCTCTCAGTGCCGTCTGTCTCAACCTGTTCCGAACAGTTTGACCGGATATCCTCTGAAGTCCAGGCACCCTGGCTTCGGTGCTCTCACCCGTGGCAGTACGATCACGTAAATATAGTACCCGGATGTACCGATCTTGGGCTGCAGTGGTGACTCGAGGTCGGCCTGTACGGGGAGGGTCATTTGTCATACCTGTTTGGTTATAACGAGCTGCAAGCCGTGATATCGTGCTCAGACTAACATTCAGACGTCTGGCAACAGAAGATTGGTAATCTCCAGAGTGCATTCTTTCAATGTTCCAAGTCGCAGCGTCAAGATCTGGCGTAGTGATTTGACCTTGAAACTCCGTCAAAACGAATGGCGATTTCCGAAAGTAATCTGGATTTTTATAGCCAAACAGTGCATGTTCTTTGTTGCTCAATTTCAACTGGAAGCTGACTTATGTTGCGAGTCACAATCATGGCTGCCATGGAAACGGAAAAAGGTGTGAATTCTGCGAATGCCTAAGTAGTCAGTGTCACTAGTTTAAAACCTGTTCTTTGTGCACATCTCCATGACAGAAGACCGATTATTTTTAGAGATATGGTCCCGACAACACACGACTATGAACAGAGTGAAAGTCAAACTTGATGCCATGGAAACACCAAACAAATCCATACTAGCATAAGGCAGCACCTCGGCCCCTATAAATACATGTCCCGAATAGTTTTGAATACTTTTAGCTCTGTTCAGGAAACGACATCAACCTCCTTTCCATTTAAGACTAAGTTGCTTTCATGGAAAAAGGGAACAAATGTAAATTCCAGGAATAGCAAAACGCTTCACTTCATTATCTGTTTGAAACGCCTGCTATGTTTTGATATCAAGTGATGCTCCGGAATTGAAATGATTATGGGCGGACGGACGTCGAGGTGTCGACTATATCCAACCACATCATATGTCGGCAGGGATAATAACACGATATCAGCAATGTCTGTAACCTGTGCGTCACTAATGTAGACTGTCACATTCTACTATAAGTAACCTCTAACATATCATGACGCATGACATAAACCCTCAAGCTGCACTTATTTCACTGGACAGCCCCACAAAACAAGAAAGTTATACACGCGACTCTTATTGCCGCTCTTTGCTATCATGGCTGCTGTTTCCCCATCCTTGTTCCTGGCGTTAATGTTGACCGTGTTCTGTCTGATGATGTACTTCACCATCTCCAATCTGCCAGCGAGTGAGGCACGGTGAAGGATGTTGTTTCTCATATCATCAAGTTGTGACAAACTAGCTCCCATTCTTACGAGGAATTGAAAAATGTCTCTGTACCCGTACAATGCAGCCCACATCAAGGGGGTCACACCCATCTTTCCGCTACTGTTAATATCAACACTGCATAGTGAAAGTAGATACTTTACCATACCCAGATGTCCCCCCTTGCAGCCCCAGTGTAGGACTTTGTCCCCTCTATCATCAACTTGTGACACATTAGCTCCCATACACACGAGAAACTCAAAAACATCTTTGGATCCCCGGTATGCTGCCTGCAGAAGAGGGGACACGTGCTTATGGTTAATGTCTATATCATATTGTGGGAGTAAACACTCCGCCATACCCACATGTCCACAATTGCAGGCCCAGTGAAGGAAGTTCTTCCCATCATTATCCACTTGTGACATGTTAGCACCTTTTCTGATAAGAAAAGATAATATTCTGCAATGTCCCTCCTGTGCTGCCACCATGAGTGGTGTTTTTCCGTGATTCCCGTCTCTAATGTTGATGTCTACGAGACCCTGGGACAGGATGCTTCTTACCCGAGTCAGGTTCCCCTTCCTGCAGGCATCATGAAGTGGGCTGTTCACAAATGTTTCTTCTTTGTCAACTTCGTGCTGAGGAGATCCCTCGGGGTAGTTCTGCTTCTGACCTGTGGATGTTAAATGATAATGACACAATGACGTCAGATTGTTAGCATTGATTACAGTAGTTACTAGTTAGTAATTAATCTAATGAATACCGCTCGTATTACAATCGATTCTGAACGGCACTGTTGCTGCGTTTAATGAAAATTGTCGTTTCCTGATTTTAGATGTTTGAAACAACTATCAGGATAATGAATGATTCTGGTGTTATGTTAAGGATAACACCCTCACCCTCGGGCGTTCTAGTAAAGAGAGGCCCTTGACCTAGGGAAAAAATGACGCGTTAGCGCTCGAAGGTCTTCCCGTATGCAAAGGCCTCTCTTTACTAGAACGCCCGAGGGTGAGGATGTTATCCATTTGATATACCGAAACCAATCACTGATGATGCCTTCGTTGATGATTTTGGTTCAAAATTGTCTGTCGCTCAATCCCGTCTGAAATCCATACCCCTCCTTAGAAATGAGCATGACAGGTTGCATGTGCATGTGCGGTCCGTATATCCTTGGCTGGCGAGCACATGCGGTCCATTAAGGTGGTGCATCCAAGCGCATCTAGTATAACAGGGTAAAAAGAGCTGTTCAATTTCGTCAGTCTCGGTAGCACAGAGGTAGAGTGCAGGATGTGTGATGAGATACAGGTATTTAGTGGTTCCATCCCACCACTTGATAAAAAGCTTTTCAGTTGAGAATTTAATTCTACAGACATTTTACATGGGGACTTCTAAGCTTACAACATTAAAAGGTATCGAGTTAGTGAAAAGGTTAATTAAACAGCCAAAACGAGGCAGGGCCTTCCAACAACCAGATGACAGCCTGCTGGGATTGTATTACAAAATCTGGAATGAATGTTGTAACCCATATATTTTCCAAGTGCACATCAGATCACACTTGCTTCAATTCTAAACGACCTGGCCATGTATCAGGGAATTTTATACTTTTTCTCTCAAGTAAACCAGCATGGTTATGATTGCATTATTTATTTCAAACACGTACTGTGAATATAACGAAAGTCCTTTCGTCACTAGACATGACAATATATATTTCCTTGGACCAATCTTACGAAGCTTGGGACACCAGTATAAAAGTGATGAACTACTAAAGAACTGGCGTTGATTGTAGATTGGGTGTGGTCATACTGACAACACAACAGAAAACGTTGATCTCAGATGTAAGGTGAACTTGGAGCTCCCTATATTTAAGGGCTGTAAGGTTACAATCCAGCACCTTATTGCGGGCGCTGGTCTAACATATGCTATAAGATGATATGGTTATGACAAAGATTTTCACTACAGTGACGTACGTACATAAAGATCCATTGCTGTCCAACCCATTCCAGGGAGTGAAAAAGAGAAATACGAAAAATACCGACCATTACCTTGCACACAGACAGTCTTTCCAGATCGAGTCTTCAAACATCGTTGCCCGAAACTGCACATCTTGGACGAACATGAATCAGGTACCTTCAAACAGGAGAAAGAAACCTTATGTTATGTTTTTATGTAATATGTTTATTTGCACTTCATGTATCAACAATATTTTTTCCTGTTTTTGTTTTGTTCAAACACAATATCTTTTTTAATAATCTTTCACGTAGCTGAAATTTTTATTAATGATATATGCACAACGGACTTAGCGATTTCTCTTTCTCAAAAACGTTTCGCCAAAACAAGAGGGTGTCACTAAGATGTTCTACTTGCTTAGGCTTGTGGTCGGCACGTGAAGGATACTAATACAAAAGCAACAGTAACTAGGATTGCCTCCTGGGCAATACCGACGGTCTTCAGACTTCCCCATACACTCCCGGTGGCTACCTTTACTTATCCTGTTTCTTTGGACACCAAGTGGATCGCCAATTACAGTGTTTCTGAGACAGAATTACCAAGAAAATAAATGTTAGTTAATGTGAAATGTTGACGCCGATTCAATTTGGCGCTGATTCAATGCAGCTGACACAAACTGCAGGAACGCACAGCCAAGCACAGCAAAGGAAATGAGCAACATATACAGACATATACTAAAAGAGAGATTACTGGCAAATGTTGCCGATTTTGTTGTTATGAAAATGTCAAGTATGATCCTGTCACAGTAACTCAACTCAACTCAGGCTGGCAAACAAACTGCTGGAGAGATTAGATCCTGCCAATTCCAGAACACTAACTCCTTTGACTGTAGTAGAACCTTGTTAAAGACGGAACTATTTCTTTGGGCATTGGAAAGCCAGGAAGTAGTGATTGTTGCTAGATTTTACTGGCGGTTCCTTCACCTATCTCACCAGCTATCTAACCACTAACAAAATGCGAAAAATCCGAGTGTTCGTGTTTGTGTCGTAATAGTGGCGTAATTATTGACTTTTACATGACAGTAATGTGAAGCAAAAATGTCCCCCATTCAATTATCTACAGTTTGAAAGACGAAATCCATTTGTGTTTTCGCAGAGCTGTGACATTTTTATGAACCCTATGAAAATGCGTCTTAGAAGCATCCACCGACTTCCAAGGGCGATAACTCCGAAACCATTCCAGATATCGATATTCCTTGTGCAAAATGTGTAGTCCGGAGTGTGGGCTTTCCAACGGCGTATCGAACACGATTGTACTATTTGCCGTTCTGGAGAAGAAGATTTTTAAACACAGGCACCGTCAAAAAAATCAGTTTTTGCAAATTTGCGGAAAACATCAAATAAAGGATACAAAAATATGATGATGTCTACATCGAGTGAAAATCTAGTCAACTTAACTATTTTAGTTTTGGAGATATTTTGGGTTATTAGCCCTTACCAGAAGCAGTAAGTCGGGATTTTGAACATTGAATCAATTTCAGCCTACAGGCTATCATCCCTGAAAGTTTCATCGAAATCGACCCAGGGGTTATTTCAGGAGAGCTGGTACAAAAAACGTACAAATAATAATAAGAAGAATATTCGGATAAGAACAGTAGGTCTTCCAGACTGTCGTCTGAAGACCTAATTAAACCTATGTTATTACTATTATTATAGGATATTTATATAGCGCACATATCCAGGCAACTAGTGCATGCTCATGTCTGATACATATCCCTGTTTTGACCTTTTTGTTCTCCTGAACTTTTAGGCTTAGAATATATTTCCTTGGCACCTGTGTTCAAAAACACGTGATATCAGTATTTGACTTTCATAAACACTTACTAAAGTTTAGTCCAGAATGCTGTTGAGTAGAAATGTTATATAATTATGGACAGGGTTTTTACGCCTTTACTTACATCTGAATGACTCCTTGCAAGATTGACATATCCTTCCTTCGCCTTGGTCTTCCTTGATTCAGCACTTAATAAACGACAGGTCAAAGTGTCACTACTGTATTGAATGCTCAAACATTGACCATTTTCAGCACATTTCAGCTGGCACAACTTGATGCCAACGTTCCTGATAATGACAGAACCATCCCTCTCAGTCGTCGTAGGTTTACACTGCTTCGAGTGTGGTGTTGGCAATAAGAACATCAGCATAACCATTACTTGTAGGAGCAGTTTCACACAGTCTCTCACATACCTTGGTATCATGTTGGAGTGCTAACAGACAGTCGGATGTTGTGTCGGATGGTGAACAACTACTACGAATTCAACAGGGCAATACTTTTTCACCGATGTGTAGTGGCTGCCTCTGAACAGATTCCACAGAGAGAAACACAGTGACAACTGTGATCAATATGCAGAGAAAGTCAGTCAGTTGTTCCTAACATTCCAGGACTTACAATAACTGCCACATAACACATAACTACAAGGACATAAATCTTTTATCCGTGTCTGAAACTGACAATATAATGTGTGTTGGTTTCCTTTGCAGTTTTACCTTTTGACAATAATTTTTTCATACTTCATTTTCAGTTTGCATAAATATTGAAAATATAAATGAAACAACAGATAGACCACATTGTTTCAAATGTCTCAAAGTGATGCACCGCCCTTCAAATCCACTGATGTCACAAGAGCTAGTTCCATGGGTATTACGAGGCTGTATTGGGAAGATATTTGACAAATGCGCATTTCAAATATGTTTTCCTTTTTAGGGACAATAATGTCTTAATAAATTTGCAATTAGGATTGTTTGCCAGGCGATTGTACTGCTTATCAACTTGCATATCTATATGACTTTATAGCAACTGTTTTAGATAATGGAAAGAAGTAAAAGCCGCTTTCTCTGGCATTAGTAAAGCTTTTGAAAAAGTATGGCATAAGGGTATATTGTTTAAATTAGAGGCTTATGGAATACCTGGTAGTTTAATTGAATGGTTTTACAGTTATCTTAGAAATAGGGTACAAAGAGTAGTTATTGATTGCCGATCATCAGATCTGTCTTTTGGGCCGCTTCTGTTCTTAGAAAAATCAATGATATTGTAGATGGCATCAACAGCAATATTCGACTATTTGCTGATGACACATCAGTGTAGGTAGTTGTAGAAGATACAGACAAAGCAGCAAGAAGTTTGGATAATTATTTGAATCGTATTTCTGATTGGGCCAATATGTGGCAAGAAAATTTTAATCCAACAAAACCTGAAACGATTTTATTCTCCCGCAAAGTAAATCAC